CACAGCGTCAGCAGCAGCCGCAGCAGCAAAATGCCTTCGCCGAGGCAGCAGCAGCAGCAGCAGCAGCAGCTGCTGCTGCTGCTGCTAGCGGAGCTGTTCCACCAGGGCATGCAGCAGGAGCAGCAGCAGCAGCAGCAGCAGCAGCAGCAGCAGGAGCAGCAGCAGCAAAGACAGAAGCTGGAGACGAGGCGTGGGATCCATCTCTAGGAAAACGCGGCGCAGCAGCAGCAGCAGCAGCAGCAGCAGCAGCAGCAGGAGTTGATGGTGGTGCTGGCTGGGGTGTAGGTGTAGGAGGCATCGCTAGCAGCAGCAGCAGCAGCAGCAGCAGCAGCAGCCGTCGTCGTCGTGGGCGTGCTCAGTCTCGGGAGGCGTATTACGCTTCTCACTTACCCCGGAGCAGCAGCAGCAGCAGCAGCAGCAGCAGCAGCAGCAGCACAGCAGCAGCAGCAGGAGAGAGAAGCAGTGGGTTTAGCCTGCGAGCCCGCAGCAGCAGAATATCTTATGCTTCTCTAGACTGCAACGACGATGACATAGAGGAGGATAGCGACAGCAGCAGCAGCAGCAGCAGCAGCAGCAGCAGCAGCAGTAGCAGTATGTATACAAGCACTACAGCAACCGCATCAAGCAGCAACAGCAGCAGCAGCAGCATAAGCAGCAATATAAATAGATACGGAGCAGCAAGAGGAGCTGGGGGAGAAGAGATAGGGGCCCTTGGTGGGGCTAGGGTTGTGGATAGGGTGCTAGATAGCAGAAAGAGAGAAGACGGCGAGGATGAATATTTAATAAAGTGGTTAGGTTTCTCTCACATACATAACACATGGGAGACATATAATAATATAAAACCACTGCTAGGAATAAAAAAATTAATTAATTTTATTAAAAAAAAAGAAAAAGAAATACAGCTTTGTTCGGGTGTATTGACACCTGATGAAATCGAACAATTACAAATAGATAAACAAATGCAAAAACAACTCGATGAGGATGCGCTTATTGCTGAAAGAATTATATACAGATGGTGAGATATATTTATTTATTTTATTTTATTTTGTTTTGTTTTATTTATTTTATTTATTTTGTTTTTTTTGTTTTTTGTTTTGTTTTGGTTTGGTTTTTTTTGGTTTTTTTTTGGTTTTTTTTTGTTTTGTTTTAACTCGATGAGGATGCGCTTATTGCAGAAAGAATTATATACAGATGGTGAGATATGTTTATTTATTTATTTTGTTTTGTTTTGTTTTGTTTATTTTGTTTATTTATTTATTTTTTTATTTATTTATTTGTTTATCTATTTTGTCTTAGTTTGGTTTTTTTTTGTTTTGTTTTGGTTTTTTTCTGTTTTGCTTTAACTCGATGAGGATGCGCTTATTGCCGAAAGAATTATATACAGATGGTGATATATTTATTTATTTATTTTGTTTTATTTATTTTGTTTTGTTTTGTTTTGTTTTGTTTTGTTTTGTTTATTTTGTTTTAGTTTGGTTTTTTTTGTTTTGGTTCGGTTTTTTTTTGTTTTGTTTTGTTTTAACTCGATGAAGATGCTCTTATTGCTGAAAGAATTATATACATATGGTGAGAGATGTTTATTTATTTATTTATTTATTTATTTTGTTTTATTTATTTTATTTTGTTTTGTTTGTTTTGTTTTGTTTTTTGTTTTGTTCTAGTTTGTTTTTTTTTTGTTTTGTTTTGGTTTTTTTTTGTTTTGTTTTAACTCGATGAGGATGCGCCCATTGCTGTTATTTATATATGGTGATATTTATTTCTTTTGTTTTATTTATTTTATTTATTTTACTTATTTTATTTTATTTTATTTTATTTTGCTTTATTCTTTTGT